TATCAACCCTGACAGAAATTAGGTATAAACTTAGGATCAACTGAGCTGTAGGAATAAAAGTGTACAGTGTCTGAAAAATAAAGGATTTTTTATTTGTTAACGCCATGCCCCTTCTGTACATGGCTCTCTACAGAGTACTTTCTTTCATTATTTTTGATTTACCATGCCTTATTGAGAAAGCTAGTAGAGTGGTTTCCATTGACCCCTTTTTTTTTTAAATGTAACATCCCTTCTGAAGAGCACTTTTTTTCTTATGAGCTTGGAAGTGCCATATTTTCGTGGGAAAAATAGCGGGGTGGTTTTCCATTGACTCCTTTTTTTTTTTTAATGTAACATCCCTTTTAGATATACTAAATCATGGCTCTCCACAAAGTCCTTTATTTATTATCTTTGAATTGCCACACCTTATTGGGTAAAATAGAGGAGTGATTTCCCCCTGCGTTCTTCGTGACTGAAAACCAGAATTTATTTTTTGTTTTCTCTTGGAAAAAAAAGCTAGAGAGCTCAGTCTACTCTGCTATTTAACATACAGCTTGGAAGGGTGAAGAAGAGATAGATTCATGCCTTTCTCAAGAGCATTTGTGTAAAAGTCAATGCAAAAAAAGAGCCTGTAATTTGAACTCAACTTACCGATTCTACTTTCTACACTGATAAAGGTTAGACTACCTTGCATGCCCAATAAAAGAAAACATTTACAAGAAAGCTCCATTGTTATGAAACAAGGAAAATTATTCCACAAATTATTTCAACTAATATCTTTGTCAGTGTTTTTATTATAACATTGTGACCGATATATTTTTTTTTTTTTTTACTTTGCTCTGTTTGGTTGGTTGGTTTGTTTTATTTAGCAACATATCAACCTCTGTGTTATTTAATGTTGGAATTTAGATATTTTGAATGCAGTTGTAGGTTTTCAACTACAGAGAAAATGTATTGTTGGTTATTTTGCTTTAAAAGTGTATTGTTGGTCGTTTTACTATAAAATATATGTATGTTCAATCTTAAGATGAATCAAAAACGATTATCAGATTTTGAAAACTACATAAGGGGCCCCCAAGATGACCCATGAACACTTTGCTGCCCCATTAGTCTTTCAATTGTAGTGGTTAGTAGCATTCCGATGAAAATTTGCACATAATTTGTGTTTAGATCAATCAAGTCAAAATCAAAACTGACACCCCATGTGTTGTAAATACATTATGAAAAATATCAGTTTTTCCCATGGATTTCAAAGCCCAAGAGCCACTCTTGGTAATTATAAAATGTATTACTGGTGATTTTGCTTTAAAAGTATTATTGGTAATTTTACTATAAATATCTATTGTTGGTAATATTTTTATATAAAAATGTATTTTTATATTTTCATAGTGTTTTTGTTTGGAGGTTTACTATTTGCCCATATCTGAGACCCTAACAGGTACTACCATCCTGGGCCAGCGTGGACTGGGAAACAACTGCAATTAAGAGGTGGTCACATGCTCCCCAAAACCTTCAATCTTCCAATCAGAGGCCTCTGTCCAATATCATTTCCATCTCTTTAATAAGAATATAATATATATAACTCAGAGATGTAAGTAATGAAATGCTATAGCCAAATGAAATTTCGGAAAACACTGGAAAGAATTTGACAATATATATGAAAACCTGATGGAAATCAAGACTTAGTCAGGCACAGGGTCACAATAACTGAACTTTATTAAAGGATTGGCCTTGTTATATTACTAATGTTTTGCGGGACTAATTTGCTAACCTCTGCTTTATAGTGAAGCCACATTTCTTATTAAGCTTAGTTTGACAAGAGGCTATAATTGTGGAGCAGTTTTAAAAATCACTTTACTGCATAAGTCCTCTGTAGATTTTTAAAAAAATGTTCACCTAATTCAAAGCCCAAGAGCAACTCTTGGTAGAAAGTTACTGAATGTGGTTGTGGACCTGGGAACAACAGCAATTAAGAAATGGTTCATGCTCCTCAGAACCTCTAATCTCCTGAGGCCTTGTAGTTTATTGTCATACCCAGGAGTGACATTGGTGCCCATAAATTAATAATATTTACTGTTTCTAATTTTACGTCTTTATCTCATTCTGATCATTTTCATTAGTTTTCCATTCAATTTTGGGGGCAGAGACTTGGCTTAGAAATATAACTCACATTCCTCCACCCAGCAGGACTTGCATATAAGATCAGGTTACATTCTATGGAAGAAGCATTAATCATTTCATGATAACATGCAATATTACTGAATGGCAGAAGACCAATGGCATTAAATAATTAATTACAAATCATTTTAATGATCATCGAATCATTCAGACAAAATCTACTGATTGTCTATTTGACATATTTTCAATATGGACTATTTTTTTTTTTTTTTTTTAAAATGTCATGTCTGTTCAGGGCATAAGTGATCATGGATCTCCACAGATTCTTTTTCTTTATTATCTGTTAATTGCCAAGAGTGGAGTGTTTTCCCGCTGCCTTCTCTAAAGTTTGGAATTCAGAGTTTTCTTTTCTTTAAACTGATTGCCATCCAAGGCTAAAGAATCCAGTCTACACTAATGTTTAAAGCATAATGGAATTTTTGTAAAAGTGAAAACAACTGTGACTGGATCAATATGACTATTTGATACAGTAAGTCCCCCAGGTTACAACACTCCCATCCTCCCATTCATGGTTAGAACGCAATCTCCATTAATCTTGTTTCAACTTATATCATTTTCTTGTACATACAATGCAAATGGCATGGCAGAAGAATACATTTTTGCAACAGAAGAATATATCATCATACAGTGCTAGAGTAAGGAACACAGTGTGGGTCAATTCCTGTTTGTATATGCAGCAGATATTGGCTTGTAGACAATGTGAATAAGTTAGTATAAATTTCAGTGTTGGATAGTGTTTTGTTTAGGTTTTTTGCTAGACAAAGAAATGGGTTAAGGAAATCGTTGAAGACAATTGCTGAAATATCTTGATCCAGTTGAGATATTAGTGATCATTTTTCAGTTGCTAATTTATAAAAGAAATAGTATTTTTTTCACCTCTTTTCACCATATTAGTGATCATTTTTCAGTTGCTAATTTATAAAAGAAATAGTATTTTTTTTCACCTCTTTTCACCATATTAGTGATCATTTTCAGTTGCTAATTTATAAAAAGAAATAGTATTTTTTTCACCTCTTTTCACCATATTAGTGATCATTTTTCAGTTGCTAATTTATAAAAGAAATAGTATTTTTTTCACCTCTTTTCACCATATTAGTGATCATTTTTCAGTTGCTAATTTATAAAAGAAATAGTATTTTTTTCACCTCTTTTCACCATATTAGTGATCATTTTTCAGTTGCTAATTTATAAAAGAAATAGTATTTTTTTCACCTCTTTTCACCATATTAGTGATCATTTTTCAGTTGCTAATTTATAAAAGAAATAGTATTTTTTTTCACCTCTTTTCTTTTGGATTCTCCACTTGACAAGAGCTGAAGATTAGATTTAAAACATTTTGTTAATAACATTAGGAAAGAGTTCAATTTTCTGAACAAATTGTTGGTTAAGTAAATTAAATTACGATAGCATTTTAGAGATTTAACAAGAATCTGGTAAATAGATAAAAGAATAAAAGGGAAGTCTTTTTGTCATGTTTTGTTATCAGTCCTTAAAAAAATACTGTACAGAAACTTTTATACAAAACATATATTTCATTAGCTTTTATTTATGTTAGCTGTCAATATTGTTAAATAAATTAACTTTATACTTAATATGTTTTCTTTTTTACTTTGTTGCAGACAATGCATAAGGAAAACAGTGATGACCGGATAAGGCTTTGTTTGTAAGATTAAGAATATCTGGAGATGACAACAGATGATGGCAGCCAGACAGCTTTCCACCAGGGAATAAATAGAAAGGACAATATTTGAGCAAAGAATTGATTGGTGTTCTAAGGTTATAAAAAAAAACTGTGAATGTTCAAGATAAACTTCAAGAAGGTTAGAGCAATGAGTTAACAAAAAGAAGAAATAAAATCCAATATCGTGCCAAAAAAAAAAAAAAAAAAAAAAAAAAAAAAAAAAAAAGTAACAAGGCTCACCTTCCAAAAAATAAAAAGTTGTCACTATTATAACCAGTAAAAGATGAATTATTAAAAACAAGATCACGCATGCCTCCAAGAAAGGAATGGTGACTGATTAATATCAAAAAGGTCTAAAAGTGAAATAGGTTAGTATTTCCCAGATAACATAAAAGTCTCAAAGACAAGCTCAAAAAAAAAAAAAAAAAAAAAAAAATTAGATCATGCATGCCTCCAAGAAAGGAGAAATGATGATTGGTCGAAATGAAAAATGTCTTCAACTGATATTTATCAGCATTACTCAAATAAAAAAATCCTGACTCAAAGACAAACTAAAAAATTAAAAAAATTGGAAAATTAATAAAGGAACTGGACAATAGAAAACCTTTTGAAGAAAATCAAAATGGAAAACACAACAACTACACCAAATGGCAGCCTCCCTGAAATGATAACATACAACATAGCGCAATCTTCCAATCAGACAGCCAATGAGTTTATGGGTTTAGGAGTACCAATGATTCATACATATGCCCTTGTCTTATCAGCTTTTATTCTAGCTATCACTGGCATCATTGGTCTTGTTAGTAGCAGTGTGGTCCTCACTGCACTGACCATGGGACATTTACTAAAACACTACCGCTATGTTCTGCTTGCATCATTACTCATTATCAGCATCCTGTTCAATGTCGTGTGGTCACCGTTAGAAATTGTTTGTCTGCTCATGTATCACAGTAATAACACTTTATTTCTAGCTATCAAGGATTCTGCACATAGTCTTTATTTCATGTTGCTCATCATGATTGGTGGAGTGCTTGGGCTGTTTTTGCTATGGTTTCTGTTCTGTTTCCACAGCTATACCAAAAAGTGGAAAAAATACTTGGTCATAACTGGATTACCACTTATTGTGTTGCTTGGAATTGGTCTAGCAACCCTTTATGGGCTGATGTCCCTTGCATACGAGTCTCCATATCGCGACCAATCTTTCTACCATCTACTGAACCGGGAATCCTACATTGTCAAACTCATTGCACTTACTATTGTCATCGGAACCTTATTCATAGGAATCATGGTCCTTATTGCACTGAGGATGAGCCAGCTGACTTTTCAGCTTGAAGCTGAGTCTCTCACCTCAATATCAGATCATTCTATCACTCTGCCCACATTGACACCGAGTGACTCAGGAAGTGAGTACAAAGAGTTCAAACAAAAGCCCAAACAAAAAGAGTCCAAAGGTCAGTTAATGGTCAACAACATTCCCCCAGGCATTAAGAATGAACAGAGTGCACAAAAGAAGAACAGCTTTGCATTTAATTCCGCAGCCTTAATGCAAATGTTCGGGAGGCGTCGTCACACTATCTCTAACATTGGTGAAATTGGTGACAATGGCTTCACAGAGCACCAAATGCAAGCCCAGGGATATCAGTATGTTCGGAAGTTTTCTGTCGATATCACAGCTTTGCAAGCTCAGCTAGAAGATCCTAAGAGCCATAGCAGTATGTCTTCATTCAAGTCTGCAGAAGACATGCCGCAGTCAAATGCTTCATTGTCGATGATACCAATCACAAAGAAGGTGTGCAGCATCGAAGAACCGTCGACTTCAAGACCATTAAAGAAATCATCAGCACCACCAAGGATAATGGTGGAGCCTGTCTTGGAAGAAGAATTTCACCAAACTATTGAACAGAGGATTTCTGAAGAACGGCAAAGCCATAATAATTTCAGACTATGCCTACTACTTTTGATAACATACACCTTGTCTGTAATTCCAATGTACATCACAGAGTCTATTCGCAGCCTTGTTTCTCTAGATGTTTACATCAATTGCCTCATTTGTGTGACTGCCATTTCGAGCATCCAGACAGTCATTTTCCCCCACATCATCATCTGCACTGACTCTTTAGTTTACAAAGTCCTACGTAACTTGATCAGTGCATGTTGTGTCCCTAAAGCAAAGGACAAGCAGCAAAAAGAAACTCAGTCTATGCTGCCCCATCCAACGCCATCGGATTTCAGCGTTAGTCAGCTTTAGGCAAGAGAAAAAAAGAAAATGAATACAGAAAAAAAAAAAAATGTTAATTTCTGTCGACATCTTTCCTATGAGTGGAGTCAGGGCTTTATGTAAAATTCAATTCAAAAGAGAAATAGGAATTCTCTACCAATTCTACAAACTGGAAAGGCTGTCTGTAAAGCAGTAGTGGATCATGTTACCACAAAACCTAAGAAATGTTTTTACACAGAAAACTGGAATATCATGAAAAGGAAATTAATAAAAATAATGCCAAAGTTTAACATTCGTACTTGTAAAAAAATGGTGTGTCAAAAGGATGTTTTTTTCTTTCTCGATAACGCAATTAATGCATAATTCCTTGGCAATTATTATTAATTTAAAAAAGCAATTTTTAGAATTTTGATAAAACTCAAACATATGAACTTGGACTTCTGCATTATATTTTTTTCTCAAGGATTAGCAACAAAAGAAATAAAATACTATTTATTAGATTATTTATTTACAATAATAATTTTATATTTACAAGTTCATAAAAATACATGAACCAACTGCTATGCAATATTTATCATTTATCATATTATAAAGAAGTAACTATGAAAACAGTCTTCAATCAATTTATAAAAATGTCTGAACAACAGAAGAACATATAAAGACATAACGACAAGAAACTCTAATTATAAATTTTGAAAAAAATGCATTTTCTGGGTTTTTCTTTCATTTGCTCTCTTCACATAAATTCACTAAAGTCATTCACAAGCATATGGAGAATTAGCAACAAAAATGTTAAAAACTATTTATGAGCCTGTTTAATTAAAAGAGTAGTGTTGAATAATTTTATTGTCAATTCTCAAGAAATAAGAGAATCACTAAAAATAGATTTTAAAACAATAAAAATTGCTAAGCAAGTATACAGTAATAGCAGCCTCAAGAAAAAAATGTCCTTTTGATACGTTTTTTTTTTTTTTTTTGCAGTTATGTTTGTTAAACTTTTGCAAATAACAATGTATCAAATGCAAGTTTTACAAGAGAGAGAATGGTCAATCATTTGTTTTACATCTAGAAACAAATAAAAGCTATACAGCTTAAATATATATGTGTCTGTGTGTGTATAACATTATGTACATTTCATACAACTTCATATATCATACATACTGGAGTTTCAGTTGACCTCCAGAAGGTACTAAATGTTATTTTAAAATAGGCTCTATATTTATCAGTTAAGTTTACTTCAGACTGGAATAAAGCAGCCTTACATCTATCAGCAGATCTAAATGGTCTGATACAGTTTTTTTTTGTTTCTTATACTTAAAAAGTATACTAAACAAGCATTGAATGGATTGGGTATTGTTTTCAAAATACTACGTGTTTAAAATCTTTGTTTTAATTCACCCATGATTGTATTAACAAAGAGTTCTACAAATTTATTGTGGATGGGTAGAAAATTCTCAGTCTTGCTTACATTCCAAAATCAGCATTCTGATGATTCACATATTGAAAAACGTGATTTCAGGAAGTGGGTTCAGACTGATAGTTTTCTTATCCTGAAAAAGTGAAATTATAGTCTGGTACATACAAAATATGCTACCTACATAACGGAAGCTATAACAACTAAGCAGTTCTGGTGAGAATGAGATGAATGTGAAAGAAAACTTTGTTCCTTACAAGAAATGGTTTTGACAGTCTCACAATTAACAAGGCAGCCAAAATTAATGAGTTCAAAGCTTGTTTGTTTTAATTATATGCCAATCAAAATCAAATATTTTCTGACAAAGTCTTTTATTTTCTGTCTAAATTTCTGGGATGAGAAGTTATCCTTATTTACACTATATTGAACAAAGAGGTGGACAATAGTCCAAATATAAATAGTTTAAATAAAAGACAGACTGAAGGTAATAGAGGTGAACAAAAAACCCCCAAAAAGAACAAAGAATTTTGACTGAGAAGCAGTCCAATACAAATGTCATTAGTACCATACTGTAATATATGCGAGTACTTTGAAGATGAGGAATGTTAACATTCACATCACAAAACATTCCAAAAAAGATTTTGAATCTCAGAAGGAAGAAACATCAATAGCTGGTGTGGTGTGGTGGATTGGACACCTAGCACTAGTTAGCAAAATTGCTACTACGGTGAGTCCGATACTCACAAGGCATCCAATATTTATAGTCTAGTGTCAGGCTAGACAAGAGTGAACTGAGTAGTGCTTTCAAATAGCTGTATGTTTACAAGCTTTGATTGTCTTAATTCAACCCTTAATAAAGGGTTCTAAAAACTTACAAGGAGTGCTGAATAGTCCTCAGACAAACCTACTTCCACAAATCAGTATTCTAACATTTGTCTGTTGAAATACCGATTTTAGAAAGTATGTTGACTGATAAATTTTCAGCACTCCCACTTGTAAATTTTTTTCAATTTTTTTTTTTAGATCAATTGTTATTATTTATTATTTTATTACTAGTTTTAATCCAGTTTATTATTGTTGCATTTTATCAAAACATACTGTATCAATACACTCTTGGGCAATGCCAAAGCAAATAGTGAAAACCTGGAAATAGCTTCTGAAGAGATCTGAACTTGAACCCCACAACTAAGAAGACTATCTTTAATGGACGTCACCATAACCATTTTGACTGCAAAATCGTGATGATGAAGTGGAACAGAAATCTGGTTTCGTAACTGTAGCAACACGAAGACGGACAAAAACTAATAATAAAATAGAGTGATAATTCATTTTAACAACTTTAAAAATTAAAACTAAATGGTATGATTATAAATGGGAATTTGTTTTAAAAAGAGTTCATCTAAGAAAGAAAAAAAAAAAGAAAAGAAAATCCAAAAAAGAATAATTAAAAATACATCAGTGAAACAGTGAGTTTCTTTGGCATTCTTCTAATACGATGAAAATAAACTTCATTCATGTTACCAATTCTCTCTTGACCAACTCTTCAATGACAACAAAACATTACGAAGACCATTATGAAGATTAGCTTGTAGCTAGAACACAATCTGAAATTCAGTTGTTATCTGCCCTGTCCTGATTTAATTGTGTCTGGAACCAAGCAAAAGCACCAAAAGTGGTGAAAGTAAAATTCAACATCTCTGGAATTTCATTTTGGAAATATCCGTCGCTGATTGTTGAAACCTTTCAATGTACAATGTGTAGAGATGGTAATTCAGGATAATATAAGTGACACAAGATGAAAATCTATTGTATTATGAAGGTGAATGCAACCATAAGCTAATAAGATTAGGCACGGTTGTTACAAGCTTGGCAGGAAGACAGAATCAACATATACACACACACATATATATATATATATATATATATATATATATATATGTATATATTAGTGTATCTATGCTGTCAAAAATTATGGCAATTGTTAGAAAGCTTTAATATTGAGATACAATAAAGCAAAACTTTTCAAATGATGTATTGAGATTCAATAAAGTTGACATTCAGAATTCACAACTGAAATAGGTGCCAGTGAACTGTTTAATGGATCAGTTCTTTTTACATTTTTATTTTAGATAGTCAATAGTATCTATGATTCATTGATTACAGTTACCATGACATGACTCACTTTTTGCTCAATATCTTTTAATGATAAAAATTTATATGTTTAATATAAGTGACTCAAAATGGAAATACCACTCGAAAGAAAAAGAAAACTAGCAACAAAATGACAAAGATAGTGACGAGAAAGCCTATATCAAGATCAAGTTGAAGCAAGATGATCATTTAGAAGACAAAAATATCTGAGTGTCTCGCAAGAAAGGCTTGAACAAATAAGATTGCAGTCTAAGAAATGTAGTAGCAAGGTAACAGATAAATTAAACAGTCTATTTTGCTCAGGAACTAATTTTATCTAAATAAAGATAAATATGACTAAAGGAAATACTACTCAAAAATTTACTACCTTAAGTTGATTTAATTCCTTTTCCAGTATAGAGTGTGACATGAAAGATATAAATAAATAAAAAAAGTAATTGTTATATATAGTGTGTGTGCAAGTGTGTGTGTGAATAAAGTAACTATAAAACATGGAGCAACCATGATCAATGTCAAGATCATTTTCATTCCAAATCACGCCATGAAGAGTCATTAATATCTGGATGTTGTTCATTGTACATTTTTTTGTATTTTTTCACTTCTTCATGTTGGCAATCAGACATGGACTTTTCTGATTTCAACTACCTGTATTTTGAATAGGCACATGATTGTAAAACTTGTTGTGTTAATTCTCTAAATTGTTGACTGATTCTCATGTACCTGTTAATGTGTCTTACTATGTCATTTAGCACAGAAATGATAGTGTGTGAATCTTACATGTTGACACATACGTGTCAAGTCAAGAATGCAAGACTGAGCTGAACAATTGTAACAACATGAAAATGTATTCATTTCATTAAAAAGACACACAAAGAAAAGTGAAAAAAATGTTTTATTCTTTTTATTTTAAATACCAAATCAAAGACGAAAGGAAAGATAACTCTGGGAGATTGGAAAAATTTAGAAAATATTGATGTGCAGTAACATTTTAAAAATATGTAATTATTACTTACAATAGATTTGTGGTAATCTTTAGGTTGGTTTGATTTATTTTGTTTTGTGGCATATCAACCTCAGTGGATTATTTAATGCTGACAAAATTTTTTATTGCTTTTTTTCCCCAAAAAAACGTATTGCTGGTAATTTTTTTTTTTTTCAAAAATGTATTTCTGGTAATAATTTTTTTTACAAAAAGTATTTCTGATATTAAACCTATTTTTACACTTTCATAGTGTTTGGACAACAATTTAGGGGTTAATTATTTGCCCATGACAGGATGGAACACCAGCAATTAAGAGGTGGTTCCATGCTCCTCAAAACCTCCTAATCAGAGACCCTGCTGTTTGACATAGTTTATCTCTTATCCAGGAAGGGCAGATAATCTTTAGCCTTCATGACCACAAAAAATGGTGTCTCAAAAGAATGTTTTTTCCCTTGAAACCACTCTTATTTTAACTACCTTCAC